GAGTATATAAATACCTTTCCTGTGACTTGAAACTCAAAAACCTAACCTGGGCAAACTTAGGAAACAAGTTTGAATGAGAGGAGATCTACCGTTAAGGGGTGTGATCTGAGGGATTTAGTTTAGCTCAGGCAGCTAGTCGGCTAACCCACAGAGGGCAGAGGGGAGGAGCGACCGGATGAAGGTTGATGGACCCAGGCACATCTACTCCGAGTGAATCCAGCTGAGATGCTCTGAGTGAGCTGTTCTGTAGGCTGCAGCTGGATGATGCTCTGACTCTCCTCAGAGAAAAGTGAAGGGAGCGCTGGGGTCCAGATCCACCAATTAAATATCAACAGTTTATCACCTAATTCATGTAGGAATTTAATGATGTGTTTAATGATGTAAACCAGTCAGTAATTATTCTATATATAAGTCACATCTTATCATGTGATGCTCCATAACTATTAGCAGCCATCAGCCACAAGTCCAGAGTGTGGTAGGATTTAGTAGGATTACTGACCGAATGAATATTAGTAGAATTAACATGAACTGCTTTTATCAAAAGTAGCCTGAGATGATTAATTAATTACAACTGAACTGAATTGATCAGATTGTAAAAAAGAGACATTTGTGCTGAGAATTATGACAAGAGCTGTTGGATATTTGACCTTTGACTCGTGTTGTGATGGAACCGTTTCCATCAACAGGAAAAACAATAAATTACAGTAATTTAAGTGCAACAATTATTATTTTTTTATTATTTGATATTAAATATTTGTATTTACTTTATATTTGTATTTACTTTATTAAAAATAAAAAGAACATAAAATATTTAACACTGAATGAATTTTGAGAAATGGTGCAGCGCTGAATAAATGTATTGAAATTAAAACTGGAGTTTCTTCATGTTTCTGCTGGAGTTTCTTGTTTGGCAGTAAAATCTCTGTTCATGTTTCCAGCCTCATGTTGTGATCTGGGATCTTTCTGTAACCAGACATCTCTGCAGCTTCACTTCGGTTGGTAAGTATCCTATCAGGTTAGCGCTTCAAAAAGTGAAGGACTGATCTGGTGTTGATGCAAAGATTACATGGGGTCAAAGGTCATAAAGGTTTAATGAGCCCTACCACTGAGCACACAAACAGAAAACACATTTGACCTGTTTTACATATTTAGCTGGAATGTGGTTGAGTTTGAAGTTGTTTCTGGGTCGTGTTTCAACAGGAACTTATGCAGCTGACGGAAAAACAAGCTGCCCTTTCAGTTTTACTGGTTGTATCAACGTTGAATCTCTGCACACTGCAGGCTGAAACAGGAACTCAAACCTGCGGCGCACCCTTTGGCGCTTTGACAAGTAAAACAAAGGCTCCTGTTACAAATACTTTCACTTTGAGCAGAACAAACTGATGCAACATTTATAATGGACTACTAATGTTTCAGCAAGTACTTGATTATGAAAATACGTTTGGTTTTCTTTATGTATCTTACAATTTCTGAGTTTAATCATAATGTTGGTGAGTAAACCTCACCCACTGTAATAATGCTTGAAACAACAACTTGACTGAAAAATAGAGCCATTTTTAAATTTGATTAAAATGTAACTTGTATTTATTTAAATGCCCACAGACAGACGTTAGACATCTGCCTGGGCCACAGGGCACGAGACACAGGCATGTGAATAACAGTAAAAAGTTGTTCCTGGGTCGTGCATGAACAGTCCTGCCTTCTTCCAGGACTTATATCCCAGGACTTAAGGGCTTTAGTGTTTAAGAAGTGTTACATTTTATGCTTTGTTTGTTAAAGTTGATTTAATATTAGTTCTCTTTCATCTATATTGCTGCCTTTAAGCCTCACTATTATCCACTTAGTCAAATCAAAACACTGTTAAATACTTTGAGATTACTGCAGATAAGCTTTACTTAAACAACTGGAAGAAGAGCTTTCACGCCTGCTGGCATTTTGTCAACATGTCTTGCATCATCATATCCATTCAACCAGAAAGTCTCTGATAAAGTTTAGAGGTTAGATCTGTCACCATGTCTGCTTTGGATTAGGTTTAATTTGTTTTTATGTGTTCAGTGAAATCAGTCTGACTGTTCCTACAAGTGTCAGTCTTTCAAATGTATTCCAGTAGTAATAATTTATAATTTGTTTAATATCAGATGAAAAGTAAATGTGAACTTTGTAGATAACATTGTGCACATAAAGTATTATGTAATTAAACAAACTAAGTTTGTGCTAGTTAATATTCAGTTAGAAGTAAATATTATACAAACCAACAAATTATTTAGTTTATATGCTGAGGAGAGAGAAAAGAAAAAAATGGCACAAATGTATCAAACACTAAAGAATAACTGGAGAATTAAACTAAGACTGAAGCAAAGAACAGAAACAAAGGTGGTCTAGTCAAAGTATAGAAACTAATCAACACAGAAACAAAACAAAAACACAAACAACCCGAGATCTCAATACCATCATTTTATATTTATTTATTTTTTACATTTTAGTTGAGCAAAAAATAATAAAATTCTAAAACAAATTACAAAATAATCTCTTAATACTGTAAAAATATAAGTGCAAAGGGATGCTGAGCCGGCCCAAGGCATAAGCAGATTAAGTAGCTGCTTGAGGCTTCAGCCCAAACTCAACTAACACTGTTTTCTAAAAGCATTTAGCGAATTATAAGCAGCTCATCTGTTAACTGGCTGCAGACTCCAGCAAAGCCAGTAGCAAAGAGAAAAGTGTCAGTGAAGAAGGTGACAAGGGGAGAGGCTACATTTACTAGTCAGTTAACAGCTCAGTTTGTTACATCAGTTACTTCATAAGGAGACTATAAGGAGTGAAGAGTACTGCTCTTAAAAATACAAAATCAACCAAAAGCTTATTCTACAGTTGTTCATACGTATCAAAAGAAAAATAACTGATTGCTACACACATGATTTTAACAGATGTAATAATGATTATAGATATTTTGTTTTAATCAAATCAGTTTGAACATGTTTGTTTGAAATATTTGTGTAGCTAATCTGGAAGCTACATTAAGCTGCAACATGAACATCTGCAAATAACATAAAGACAAACAAAAACATTCTATATCTGTAAAGTATAGCTGGAATATTCTTCTGTAATATTTCCACATGTATGGTTGTGGAACTTAAAATATTTGCATTTACATTTCAGAATGACATGAATAACTGTTAAATTCACATCTGAAGGTAAACTGTTTAGTTGCTTATATTGGAGCTCATTGTCAAGTTTATTGAAGAAGTTAAATGTCCCAAAGTTCCTATTTTTTAACTAACAAGATGTTTAAAGACTCCCATTATCTAAAGTCTCAGTCTTAAATCAGATGAAAATACTTTAATACTCTGTTTTGACTGGGAGAATAAATCACATTCCTCTGTATTTTTAATATTGTTCGTCTTATTTTTCATTTTGCTTCAATAAACAGATGATCAATATTTTTGTCTTCTTTGTCTTCAGTTCACCAAAACATGATCATCAATTCTCCTTTTCATATCAGTCTTGGCTGCAAGAAAAAGGACAACAATTACTAACATGATAGACATTTTGAAATTTAACAATAATTAAGAGAGGAGCATGTTAAATGATTGCTACCCATTACTTTCCATTAACTCCACCAGGGGGCGGTAGAGTTGACTAACATTTACATTTATTTTGTCTTTTGCCTTCTTTAAAACCTCCTTTACCACTAAAGTCACCAGATTAGAACCAGATTTAACATTTTTACCACATTTGTTGTTTTCTTTGACTTCAACTCACAGGAGAAAAAACACACAGCCAAAATAATTACAGCATCAAGATCTTCAAACTTTTGACTTTTCAGAGAAGATCATAATGATCTGAATCAGAATGTCTTTATCCTCATTGTGTAAACAATGAATTTCATTCAGTGCAGCTCAGTCTGGAGCAGAGGAAGTGGTGGGCTGCGGGGGCGTCTATAGGAATGTGTGAGAGAGATGGAAAACTATTTCAACAACAAACTGAGCTTCCCATAATGTTTGGTAACTGGGATCAATTGTAATGATTGTGACTGAATTAAAAATATTTTTAGTAAAATGTGTCAGGATGACATTAGTTGTGAGTTGGTGCTGTAGAAAATAAACTGAATTGAACTGAAAAGTAATTGGATGTTTAGCAGTTGGTAAAATAACAGCAAA